CCTTAATAGACTCTTTAAACTCGATTAATAACTTCGGATAGTCTATCGGTTTATAGGTGTGCAGCAAAATTGCATTGAAGATTTGTGCCTAAATTTTATCACAAAGTCCTCCAAAAATGACTCATAAACTTGATATTTCTATTTGAAGTAATTGTCTTAATTAGGAATCTCATGCAATCGAACCACTTTTTTAAAAGTAAAAATCGATTATTTTAGTTACATCATGAATTATCTTACATGTAATAAAATAAAACATCTTGGAGAATTGATCTACCACCACCATCATGACATCCTTACTCTTTTGTGCTCTAGGAAGTCCAACCATAAAACCAACACCAATATCCACCTAATGGTGTTTGGGTACTAATAATGGTGAATACAAAATGATGTTTTAAACTTTAGGCTTAGCCATATAACAAACCCAACATCTCTTCACATGTCCTTCTACATCTTATCATATATTAGGCTAATAAAAGCTTTCGGACACAAGTTCTAGAGTCTTATCCTATCCCTAATATCCAACAAATCCATTATCATGACACTCACACAAGATAGACTCTCATAAGGAACAATTTGAAATACATAAATGATTTCTATAAAACAAGTATTCATTATCAATATGTAATTATTTAAAATGAGACGTATCACATTCTTTCTAAATCTAGTTGAAATACTTGTCTTCGAAATACAAGTCTTTCGAGTCCCACAAACCCAATAACCTTAACCGGTAGAGTAAAAAGCAAAACGGATCTTTTACTTGAATGCATCTATCACTATGTTTGAAGCTCATGACTTGTGTTTCAACATATAATGAAATGGTGAAAGGAATTCACTCCAAGCTGCATGACATCCTTTTAACTTGTTTTAGTTATGTAAGTGCTTTAGGGTTTTATGATTCGAGAACAACATAAATTCTCTAGTAAAAAGGTAATGTTGCTAATAGTCCAATGCTTGAACAAGTGGCATAAAACTCTATGTCATGTGTATAATACTTTCTTATAATATCATTCAATTTTTCACTATAATAAGCAACTAGTCATTCCTTTTGACTTAAGATAGCCTCAATTCTTGTATTCAAAGCATCACAATCTATTTTAAATACTTTGTTGAAGATCGTAGTGCTAATACTAAAAGCTTTATCACTTTCTTCTTTAAAGCTTTAAACCCTCTTTAGGCTTCGATCGTCTATTCAAACTTTCCCTTCTTTAACAACTCATAGGAGCAATAATGATACCAAACCCATGAATAAACCATTGATAGAAGAAAAAAAGACCTTGAAAGCTTCTTACCTCAACTATAGTCTTGGATATTAGTCAATTAAGAATGGTCTCAATCTTACTCTTGTCCATTTCAATACATCATTTAAGACTACAAAGCCCACGAAGATAACCTTATTAGTGTAGAACCGGCACTTTTTAAAGTTTGCATAAAGTTTCTACTCCCTCAACACTTCCATAACTTGCCTAAAGTGTTCAAGATGCTCCATCAATCCCACGATTATAGATTAAGATGTCATCAAAATATACAATAATAAACTTACCAATAAACGATCTAAATACTTAACCCATCAATCTCATAAAAGTGTTAGGAGCATTGGATAACCCAAACGACGTAACCATCCATTCATAAAGTCCTTCACATGTCTTGAAGATAGCCTTCTATTCATCTATAGATCTAATCTAAATCTAGTGATAGCCACTCCTCAAATCAATATTCGTAAAGATTATGGAATTATGTAACCGATCAAGTAAATCATCAAATCTCGATATAGGAAATCGATACTTGATTGTGATCTTGTTAATCACTTAATTTTCAATATAAATCCTCTATGTTTCATCTTTCTTTGGTAGCAACAAAGCTGGAACTATACATGGACTCACACTCTCTCTCACGAGTCCTTTATCTACCTATTTCGTAATTTGTCTATGTAATTCTTCATACTTTTATGGATTTATACGATATGAAGGTTGATATGGAATAGCTAACCTTGGCACAAAGTCAATAGCGTGTTATATGAGGTAACCCTTTAGGTATCTTTTTGGGTACCATATCAACAAACTATGTCAATAATGATTGGACACCATCATAAATAATGTTCTACTCCTCGTTCTCTTCTATGTCCACAAACACACAAGCCGGATCCAACTCCTTCATTGATTTTATAAACATGGATTTAGTCACAATCACCTTTTGTTTACTAATTCAAGTTGTCGAAACTTTTTTCTTTGTGGGCGACAGTAAATTTTTACCTATTGAAGGTAAAAGTATAAGTGTCCCGAAAGCCATCATGCATGATGTTATGATTATATTGCCAAGGCCTCTCAAATAATAAATGATAAGTATCTATCGACACCACATCACACCAAACCATATCAACATAGGTCTTTCTAATAGAGAACGACACCAAATATCTCTTCGACACACAAATCTCATTACCTTTTTAGAACCAAGTAAATGAATAAGGGTTATGATGATCAATTTTTGTTAAACCTAGCTTTTCTACCATTCGGAAAGCTACTACAATTTTTACAGACTACCTTCATCGATGATCAACTCACACACCTTGCCATATGATGTGCAACGTGTGTGAAATATATTACACCCGACCCAATCTTCTTTAACAACCATCTCCACACTTAAAAAATCATAATAACCATCTCTACAATTGATCAATACATAAAGAAAACAAACCTTAACTCGATACAAAACCGAATCAAGAGATGCCAAACCTTGTAGAAACTCAAACAGACAAGCAACAAATGAATAACCCTAGGTCAAAGTGCCCAAGCTATAAACCAACCTCAAACTATCCTTAAACAAACCTAAAATATCACACAATCATAAATTAAATCACAATCAACAAACACCTCAAACACCCAAGTTAAAAAGAGAATATGTACCCACTACCCAAATCAACTCAAAACAACATGAAACTTTAACATAACCTAGTGCTATGCGTAAATATATGTATGTCAAATTTTTGATCAATCTAAGCCCGGTAACCCCTTATTTAATAAAGTTGAAATTTTGGACAAAATAGATTCTAGAATTTATAGAGACTTTCACACCCTAAAAACATAAACAAATATTTTTAGAATTTTTTGAATTTTTAACAAAAGCTAAATCAACCCCTTAAATAACCACTCGTCAAAATTTTTAGATGAAAATAAAATCCTTAGCCTTGGTTATTAGTTTTGAGATCGAAATTGTTTAGTCTTGGAACCCTATTCAATCCGCAATTAATCAAGCATAAACACAACAAATAAGACCAAGCTCTAATGTCTCAACCCTAAGCGGAATATTCTATCCAAATTGATTTAGAGAATACCTACAAGATGAGTTTGTCAAGAGTCCACCTAATGTAATTTTGGTATAAGCCCACTTTAATCGATTTCTCTAAGGATACGTTCACGACATCCTATCCAATTAAAGCAAGAAGATACACAAAAGTTACGGAGAAAACACTCAATTTTTATTCAAATATTCATCAAAGTTTAACCGAAAAGGAAGGACAAAATGTGCTTACATCCTCATGCAAAAAGACCCTAAAATAAACTCGGCTAGGTTGAACTTTCTCCCTTGGCGAATGGACTATATTTCTAACTAGGCTTTGACTTATGTCATCCACATATAATTAAGACTTTATTCATTCAATCTAATTAAATCTAAATCCACATATTACATGGACTCAAAATTAAATAAGGAATTCCTAATAAGTAAGGATTCACAATACATAGAGATCATTCATCCACCTAGGCCTCATTCGACCTTGTCCTAATGCAAAAAAGAAATCCGTAAATCACGAGGACTAATTAATTTCAGCTCACGTCTTTACAATTAAAATTAACTCATACAAATTATAACAACTCAAATAAATAAAAAGACAATAAAATAAAAGGATAGAGTACTAAAAGTTTTGGTTACATTAGGATGCCAAATTTTCGGCTAAACGGGAGGAAGATGCTACTGCATCAGTCACATTGATTTGGAGCAGAGAACTATTGGAATTTGGAAATGGTCTCTACTCTTTTTTCTCCACTCTTCCTTGAGTACATAAATTTGAGAGGCAGTCATTTAGATATGAAATTTAACTACAACTCGATGGATATCTATCCGATAATCATAGATTCCTAACACTACATATTACGTCCACATAATCAATCACATAAGTTTGGAGAGACTCCTTATGTTGTCAAGAAATCTCCACAAAATGAGGTCATGGGATGGTTTTTGGCCACCAACCCTCCTTATGGTAAGACTCCAACATTAGAATTGTGCTCCAGAATGAAAGATTATATACCACTAAATTAAGAAGCTGTTAGCTAAAGGTCTTTATGGTTCAGAGCATTGCTCTTGGATGAGCTCTCCTAATAATACTACTATACATTGCTTGTACACAGTGATCACTTAGAAAGCACAGTTTGTTTTTTACTCTCTTTTTACTTCCCATCTTTACGTGTCTGTAACTGCAAGTGTTGTCATGGATAAGGAATGGGACCTGTGCAATGAGCACATTGAAATATGTGCCAAGGTGTGATTTGGAGAGCTCTGTCTCTGTCCCTACCATTCAAGGAAATGTACCAACCCTTATGAAACGCGAGAGAGAGAGAGAGAGAGAGGTGAAATGCCATTTGCAATGGTGAGTCCAAATTCACCCACCCTTCATCCTTTCCTACGTCACTCTTTAGGTACACGACTGTATAATGGAAAAATGATGTATTCACAAACCAGAATCAAAGTTAATTTTGTAAGGTTTCGAGAACAAATAAGGGTGACAATCGAGCTTGATCTCCTCACTCACTACTTATTTGCAACAGCTTCAAAAACATGAACATTCTCTTACATTACCATACATTCGTAACCTTTACTATGATACAAGCCTTTCATCCCAACAACAATCTTATCTACTTTCACTTAACATCGAAACAACAACGATGTTAATTCGTTGTTTTCCTGTCCAGTGTTTTGAACCAGTGCTTGCGTACCCCATCTAAAAACAGTCACCTGAGTAAAGCTCCATGTAAGGTTATGACTAACATAACCAAAAAGGTTCTACTCAGACTGGCAACTGAAGATGCCCCAGAAAAACTAAATCTTCGAGCCTGGTCCCTGCAGAATGTAAAAGCAAACAATTAAGAGAGTAGATTGTACTGAGTAATTACAGTGAAACTTTAGTCTACAGTCATTCAACTTTGTGAAATGGAAACTAGCTTGAAAAAAAACTTGTCCAAGAAAGTTCCAAGATTAAAATTATTTTGCATAACTTGTACACCAAGCAATGATTCCAGTATTTGATGAGATGTCCAGAAGCGTTACAGAAAAATAACTGAACAACCAAGAAAAGATCAAACTTCAACCAAGATCAGATTTGAAACTAAAGGCCTAGACTGATAAACTTTTGGTAAAGGTATATTTAACTAGAGTATTGACAGTATTGACCAAGTATAGTTGTATTTCTGAAATCTTACTTCTGTAAGGATGAGAGTACGCCACAATATATAGTATTATCAGGCAAAAGAACCTCAGATTTGTCGATCTCTGGATTCATAATGCTCAGATAAACTTCTTGGCCCAGATACCATGAGTCGAGATTCTGTGCACGAAGATTCCAAATGCCAGTATTGTCAAGAGAAGCTAAAATGGCAGTCCAAGCTCCGGGAAAGACCTGTTATCAGATGAGAAATAATAAGCGTGTTGAAATGTTTGTGGATTAAGCAGTCCAATTCCTTGAAAACTTGCAGCATTTCCCCTTATCTTTTTCTCAGATGAACCAGGGATGAAATGATATGCAAACAGCCCTAACTCACCTACACTTTCAACGTTCAACAGAAGAATTGCCATACCTATTGGTATTCAAAATTATGTAATTTATTTACATCCTCGGTGACCTCTTTGAGCACCTTGATTCACATACCAAAATAATCATCATATTTAAAAGAAACTGTGCCATTTCAGCGCCATTATTCTTGCTATCATGTTCCCTTACATGTCATGATTCCGTCAAAACATATACAGTTTGTTGTTCATGCATGTTAATATGAGCCCAGCCTATGCTCTACCTTGGTGAATATTAGGAAAAAACTATAGCTTTCCTCTCAGTAATATTAAAGAGCAAGTTCTAGTTTTCCTTTTAAAAAAATATATAAAAGCATATTAGCATTTATTCTAACCCAACAACTGTGTAAAATTGTTCTGTTAGGGGTTCTTAAATTGCCAACCCAACGAGCAGGATTAGTTTGTTGGATTAGCCTGATTCTGGTGTAGTATCAACTGATTTCATACTACCCATTCTCTTATAGCTTTCCAATGGAAAATCTTTTGGGCTGTGGCTTGATACAGCCATTTTCATTGACAGTTACAGATAGAAGTACCTGTGTAGTGCTCCGAGCAACGCCATCCCATTTGTTGTATGTGCCTCTGCTGTTCTCTGTCCACACTCCAAAGTCCATACTACAGTGCAGACATGAAATTTGAAAACTATGTCTGAAGTTCCAAGTTCCATTACTTAGGTATAGAGACAGTGAACGCATCAAAGTTAAAAGCTCACCCCACAACAAAAAATGCATATCCATCCATATGGTAGCTCTGGACTGTGGTATCATTGTTCTGAAAGATGATCTCCATGAAACCTTTGAAAGTGCCATTGATTAGGGAAGTATCAACTTTGGGAGGTCTATTCATCAGTGCCTTGGGGAAGTCAAGCTTGTAGACCCCTGGAATGTTATATTGCTGGGCAAGCTTTATCGGTGTTGAAGGTGGTAAGTATGAAATGCCATTGAGGGTAGTACGCCATTTCCCATCAATTAGCTCCGCTGGTCTATTGGCTATCACATACACATCTGTCACAGTAATCTCACCATACTTGAAAGATCCCTGTGGATTTGGGCGAGCAGCACCAGCAGAGACGTTCCATCTGCAAATATGTATCGTCATACCAAAAAAAAAAAAAATCCATTAACAAGCAGAAACCATGAAAATCAAAGCTAACAAAAATTATCGGCAACAGCAACCATGAAAATTAAATGCAATTACATGCATATGAATTTCATGGAAATGAACTTGATAAAGAACTAAATAATAGATTTCCCAATCTCAATGTGGCTTAAAGTTTCCATTTCTGTAAAATTAGTGATCAAACTCTCCAGAAAATTGCATCACTCAACAACTATATCAAGCATTAAGCAAATTCAATTGCTCAAAACGTTGGAGGTTAACAATATCTTCAATGTTAATCCAAAATGATGTATACTTAACTACAACCTTATCGATCTTGCTTGATTCATTGAGAAATACGTATCGTATTCATTAGGAGGATCAGGAAGAGGACCTGAAGCAGGTCCCTGAGAATTGGAATAGTGCAGTATAGCAACTCCAGAAGCTTTGGATGAATTGACGTATCGAGGACTTGCAACAATGTAGTAATCATTACTAGCAGTTTGATCCATTGTAACCAGGAATGAGTACGACTGCCCTACATGAATATCCATGTTCGTGTAGTTCTGCTGCACAGTATATGATCCTTCCGTCTCCACCAGAAGTAAGTTGTGGTTTTGTATTCTGAAATTCAAGCTGGTTGAGATACCAACATTATGCACCCGGAACCTGTAAGTCTTTCCTGTTTGAGACAAAAATATAAAGCATTTTTTAAATCAAGAAAACAAGAAAAGGAATTTACAGTATCTTAAATCATAAGAAGCAGAATTTTTGTCTTAAACTTGGATCACTATTGTGAGAAAAAGCAACTGTTAACAAAGCTAAGCATGATGGATTGCTTCGTTATGCTAGCTAAAATCCCATATGAAAACCAAACATCCTCTATACATGAGTCTACTCATCAGAATTTTGGGGAAGTTCAAATTAGAATGGCACAATTAATTCTGCCAAGCAAAATTCAATTTCAAAGGAAATAAGCGTGAATTGAGCATTGAATACACCCGAAACACACATACCAGGTTCAACATTTATTATCTGGTAAGTAATGCCTCCTCTTACAAGTGCCTCATCGTATCTGTATGGACCAAATCCATTAATAAGGACACCATCTGGAACTCCTAGGTCTTTTCCATTTTCAACATCTTTCCTCAGTTCCTGTTTCCCCATAAATATTAGCAAATCACAGAACAAACCAAGGTAGCTAACATTCAGCACAAGCAGTCAGAAAAAGAGAAAAAACACCATTTCTGCTAACCTTGTGACTTTTAGTATACCAGTCACTGATAAGAAGTGCAACATCTCCATCAGGTACAGTGAATGGTAGTGGAATAACATCTCTATTGTTTATAATGATCCCTCCATATCCACCAGCTGCTCTATGGAAGTTAAGGGAAGGAAAGTAAAAGAAACTTCCTATCTGATCTTTCACTTGGAACTGATATGTCCAATTCCATCCAGCTGGGATTGGACAATTAGTCCCTAAAACACCATCTTGCCAGGAGTTTTTCCTGTGTTGTACACCATTCCTACATTAAGGCAGCCAACATTATGATCGTCAATGCGTCAATTACCAGATTTTGATATCAACTTCAATAATTACGCACGGCCGTAAACAAACAACATACCATGTAATAAGAAAAGGCTCATCAAGATCATTCTTGACATTAACAACAACGTTCCAGTTTGTAGTGACGTTAAGAATAGGTCCTGGGAATTGTCCATCAATGCCAATCACCTGGAATTTTATGTAAATTACAAGAACGATCATGGGTCTGGAACTAACATCATTTTAGACTTTAAGAACACAAGGGGCATAATTCAACTACCATGAACTTTTCAGAAACATACATATCAGTTAAAACAGTACAAATTACTAAAAATTAAGAACCATAACATATCTTGAATTATACTATACATGCATAAGTGAATTGAATGAAGAAAAAAAGATACGATTGAGGAGGAGGTAAGAGAAGAACCTGCTGTTTAACTCCAAGTGGAGAGGCAGTGCGGTAAGAGACAGTCCAGTCAAAGAACACATAAGGGTCACCAGCGAAAGAACCAGTGATCAAACATGCTAGTAGTAGATAGATATTGCAGGAACAATATGGTGCAATAGAGGGCATTGGATCCCTGCCCCTCTCTCTCGCTGGACTTGCTTTGGTTATCTTATTCTTGTCTCTCTCAAGATTCTTTGGTAGAAAAATTGCAGCTGTTGTATCTGTTTGCTTTATGAAATGGGAGCAGTAGTGGAGCTGTGATAGAGGGAAAAAAGTCACATGGGACTGGATTGTACCGTTTGCTGACAGCTTGGAGGAGGAGATGCCTGTCCCACTTCTATTGAAAGGAAGTAAATTATAAAACAGTCTATCTAGTTTTCCAAAAAGAATTCAATAATCCTTCTAATTTCAATAATAATTGATTAGTCTATATGTTTATAAATCTATTTATAACTTAATTCTTTTCATTCCTTTTCAATTTATTTATTTATTTTAATAAATAGAAAAAAATAAAAAATAATATGGAAATATTGATGCAAAAAATATATATTTTTGAAATAAAATAATATTAAATTAATCATGATTAATTTTGGTAAAAAACTGATTAATTAATTTTTGACACAAAAGGGATTATTTAATTTTGTTTTAAACTATAAGGACTAATTTATAACTTACTCATTGGAAGGGCCCAATTCTTTTGCAAACTTCTAGGTATTTGGAGCCACAACGAGGGACAGTGGGAGGGGTCGCTAGTCAGTGGTCACAGGACGTGTGGGTCAAAAAAGTTCCAAATGAAATGGGAATGCGGCCATTTTTTCGCCGACAGATTAGGCTCGGGATCTTAATCTCCGACGCCCTACGTTTGGGCCATTGCTTCCTTCTTTCTTTTTTTTTCTTTTTTTTAACAATAAAAAAGTTAAAATATAAATTTTACTTTTATTCTATCAAGATTTTTTTATACATAATATGAAATCACATAATTTAAACTCTTAAAATAGTAAAAATTGAATAAATATAATTTAAATTATCTAATCTTCATTATGTATAATGATTAAAATGACGTTTTTTTAACATTCCACTCGTTAATTATGTTTTTCTAAAAAAATATTTTTAACCCTCTAATCTTGACATTTATTTATTTTTTTATAAAAAATTATAAATATTTGATAAAAAATAGATAAAAAATTTAATAAATATTTTTTACCTTCTAAATTTAAACTTTTTATTAATTTTTTTATAAAATATTATCGGCATTTTATAAAAAATAATATATATATATAATTTATAAAATTAGGAAGGTAAAACCTTAATTATACTCATTTTAATTTATAAATTTTTTTAACATCTAAAATTGTGTATTGTTAATTATGTTTTTTTATAATAACATTTTATAAAAAAAATTTAAAAAGTTCAAAATTAGGGGTTAAAAATATTTATAATATTTTATAAGAAATTTTTTTTTTTAAGTTTAAGATTAGGGGACTTAAAAATATTTTTTTAAAAAAAACATAATTAACAACAAAATGCTAAAACGACGTCGTTTTGACATTTCAATTAACAAACAATCTAGTTGACTATTACACATAATGGAGATTGAGTAGTTTGGTTCATATTTGTCTAATTTCTAATACTTTAAAGTTCAAATTAAACAATTTTGTACTATGAGTCCGAAATTGCTAAATTGCAATAAAATGAAGGCAAAATTTGCCATTAAACCTAACAAAAAATAGAGGTTCTGTTTATTTAATTTAAAACTACCAGCAGGTATTAAATGGTTAAATAGTATATTTTACTCAATAATTATTGAAATTATAGTAAAATGAGGTTTAGATTATCAATTTAGCATGATAAGTTATGATCTTTTGTGTAATTGAATTTTTAAGATTGATAGTCAAACATTAATTGTTATTTGAAAAGTTTAATATGACTTTTTTTTTTACATGAACCATTTTTGAAAAAATATTAAAGAAAAATACAAACGCAAACAGATGAATGATGGGTCATTCATAAAACCTAAATTTAAAAGCTAAAACACATGCAAAAAAGTTTTTAATAATTATTTTTTAGAAAAATAATTTTGTATAATTTTTCTTAAAAAATATGTTTATTGTATTTTTCAATTAACAATCAAAGTTTGATTGTCAATATTAATGATTCGATATGATAGAATGATTTAATTTGATCTAAATAAAATAATAAGTTGAGAATAAAATAAAATAAATTGATGGTTTAGGTTTTGTCTTACTCCAACTTCAATAGCTTATGAGTAAAATATGATATTAAACCGATATTATATTATATAATGATCACGAAAGAAAACTATCAAATACACGTAAAAATTTTTTAAACTTTTTTTTCGTAAATAAAACTATTAGGTATGTAATACACTAAGCTCGCTAATGTTTTCATAAGAATAAGGAACAAAAATGGGTTTACCCCATAATTGGTCCCTCGTATAGTTTTAATTTTTTTGATCGAGACCCTCTAATACTTTTCAACTTGATTGACACCTCGTGCTCTTATAAATTTGTTGATCGAGACCCTTTGTTATGATGTCGTTAACTCGTTCATCCTACATGGCAAGTTAAAACTAACTGGTGACTAATCACACAATGATAAGTGGCAATGTGACCCCTTATCATGTCGGTATAAATCAAAACAAAAATAAAAAAAGGTTTTTAAATGATTTTGTAAATAAAAAAAAGTGAAAATACCTAATTAACCTAACCCATTTAATCCCAAAGTAAATGAATAAACCAAACGAACGAGCATTAGATTTATCAACACACATCGTCATTTATAATTCTTTTTCTTTTCGTCTTCCTTACCGACAAGATTGTTTGAAATTCTTCTCCTCTTCATCTTCCCTCTTGATAAGATTTCTTTCATCTTTTCTCGTTTCGTCTTGTCTTTGTCTCGTTGCATCTTTTTCTTTCTCAACCTTAAGAAAAACCTTAATTCTTTATCATGATCGATCAATAAAGGATGACATTTGTAGTGTATTAGATCGGACATCCTCTTCCGGCATTTTTATCTATTTGTACGTGGTTAATCGGGTAAACAATCTCTTCTCTTTGTCTCGTTTTCTCTTCTTATTTCTAAATTATAAGAAAAACACTAATTGTTCATCATGATTTATCGAGTGAAGGAGGATATTGGTAGTGTATTCGATCGGGCATCTTTTTCTAGCATCTTCATCGGCTTGTATGGGGTTAATAAGGTAAATAATTACGATATTTTGTAAAATTTTAATTGCAATTTGATTTCATTTTGAATGGGTTTTTACGAATATTGTTGTTTTGAATTGAATAGCTTATGAAAAATATGTTTTATCTTAGTTTTATCGGTTATAGTTGTTGGGTTTTGAATTTAATGACTTATGAAAAACATTGTCTTATCTTGGTTTTGTAGTCATGGGTTTTGGTTTTGTTAGTTATAGGTTATAAATATTTTATTGAATGGCTTATGGAAAACACTACCCTATCTTGGTTTTGTCAATTATGGGTTTTAGGTTTTGAATTAAACGGCTTATGCAAAGTACTTGTCTTACCTTAGTTTTTTCGATTATAAGTTTTATCAATATATTGTTTATAGAATTCAATGGATTTTGTGTATTTTTTTATATTTTATCTATCTGGATACTTTATAATTTTTGTTTTATTTTTTGTTTGTTTTCCTTTATGTCTCCTCGGCAATAATATTAAGTGAAATGTCTAAATTAAGGCTTTATTTTGTGGTTGAATTACGAAAAGGGCTTACCTTGTCTATTAGTGTAGAAGAGATTATCGAGAGAGAAAATATAGACCCTAACTTAATAGAGCTTAAAGGTTTGTTAGATATGGTCGAGGAACATGGATATGAGAAGTGTAAGGTAGTGTTTTATAGAGATGTCGATCCTAAATTACCTTTTGAACGGAGTATTAAGGAGGTGAAGGATGATATTAGTTGTTTACCTATAATAGAAATGTTGTGTGATGCAATTATTGTTGACTTATATTATGAGAAAAGTGAGTCAATACACCCTCGCTTGGTTATGATAACCCAAAAGTCGTATGTAATAAGCTTGGAATCAATGAACATGGACAAGTGGGTTGGTAACCCTAGTTGTGAGCAGGAAGATGAAGATGATGATGAAATTAAAGAAATAAATGATTCTAGTTTTATGGGTAGTATCGTCCATATAAGTCAATGTTATGGTATCATGGAACAAGATGAGGGTAGAAAGTCCATATAGGTAGGCATGATCCGATGAATAATGGTGAGGGTAGTATTGCCTATTAAAGTAGGATTAGTCAAAATATTAATAAAGATGAGAGTATTATTGTCCATTTAAGTGGAGTTAGTTAGAATGTTAATAAAGATGAGGGTAATGTTGTCCATTTAAGTGGGGTTAGTCGAATGTTAATAAAGATGAGGGTAGTGTTATTCATTTAAGTAGGGTTAGTCGAATATTAATAAAGATGAGAATGGTAAAGTCCATATAGTTAAGCAAGGTGTGATGAATACTGATGAGGGTAATAATGTCTAATTTAGTGGGGTTAGGCGGAATGTTCATAAAGAGACAGATTGTGCAGCCAAATGAGGAGCCATATGATGATGTTGAAGACGTTGAATATTAGGTAGATGTAAAGGGGGTATCCGATGATGAGGAATTAAAAGAAGTTAGAGAAAAGATTAAAAAGATTAAAAGTAGTCTCGAGTAAAGTTAATGGAACTGTAGAGGGAAATGTAGAGGGAAACTTGGAGGAAAATATAGAGGGAATGACAGGGAGACAGTTTGGTGAAAACATAGAGAATAATTCTAAGAAAAGAAGAAAATTAAGAGTATAGTTGGTAAAACTAGAAGCTAAATTGAATTATGAGTATTACAATTCGAAGAAAGGGAGGAATACATACATAAGCAGTGATGAAGAACCCGGGATTAGGAAGAGAATCAAATTAGTTAGGCATGACCCAACAACCGAGTTTCTTTATTTTCGACTTTACATGATTTTTAGGAACAAGAAGGAAGTTAAAGCTATTGTGATTAGGTATGTCATCCATAGTAGGAGAGATTTGAAGCTTCAAAAGAATGATAGTTATAGATATAGAACGGTTTACAAATATGAAAGTTGTCCTTGGAAGCT